CAGACACCTCCTGTAACACCCAGCAAGGCTTCATCTCCTGCTAGTCAGCTCCTCTCTTGCTGATGTGCCCTTCGCCCTCTTGGAACCTGTCTTTGTACTTCCTCTAATAAATCTGCCTTTCTTGACCTTCAGCTGTATTGGTAAAATCCTTCATCAGCTGCACTGCTGGCCCCAGTTAGACGCCACCCATGGTGGCCGGTACCGTTAGAATCACAAATAGAAATAAAATGGGCTGTGCATGAGCAAATGATGGGAATGTGTCTGAACCAAGGATCATGATTCATTCAAATCTGGGCTCTTCGATCCTGCATTCTAAATTTGAAAAGAGGAAAAACCACAATGGAAATAACGGAATCACAGCCGAATACTAACGAGGGTTTTATATTCAAACCTTAGGGACAGCCCTACAGCGGGAAGTCCTCTGTAAGAGGAAAACCTCAGAAACAAGGGAAATATGCCAAGGCTTCCATCAGCTGCCAGGTATTTTACACAATAAACTTGGCAAAAGGTAGTGGATTTGCTTTTTCCTTCAAGACAGAGTCTCACTCTGTCACCCAGGCTGGAGTGCAGTGGTGCGATGTCAGCTCACTGCAGCCTCCGCCTCCTGGGCTCAAGCAATTCTCCTGCCTCAGCCTCCTGAGTAGCTGGGATTACAGGCACCCAGCACCATGCCCAGCTAATTTTTGTATTTTTAGCAGAGATGGATTTTCACCCTGTTGGCCAGGCTGGTCTCGAACTCCTGACCTCAAGTGATCTGCCCACCTCGGTCTCCCAAAGTGCTGGGATTACAGGCATGAGCGACTTCACCTAGCTCCGAAGTTTACCAAAGTTCATGATTTATTTCAACTAAACCCTGAGAACAATTCAGATTCCTAGTGCTGGGGGCAAGGCTTCCCCGGTCAGGCTTCTGCACCATGGTCTTTCTGACACCCTGGCGCCGAGGCATCAGTGGGCTTCTGCTCCCACCACACCCTCCGTGTCCCTCTGGGTGCCCCTGCCCCTCCCTGTGGTGCAATCTCGGCTCGCACTCCGTCCTGTCTCCTGAACGCTGAAAGGCATTTCAGGGCCCCGTTCTACCCTCTCCCATCTTTAACAAGCCATTCCTGCTGCCGAGCCCGCCGGTGAGATCCGGCACCGCCGTCAGGCCACTCCTCGGCCTTGCTCTCCGGCTCCGTCCCGGCTCCCGGCTTCTGAGGCCACCGAGCTCTGCCTCCAGATCTCCCACAGCTCCGTGAACCTTTCCTTCCCACCCTCCGGCAGGCAAAGGAAAGCTACGAAGCGGAGGAGAGGGGTGACTTCTGCGTTTTCTTTTCCGGAAAGAGCAGGCCCAGCTGGGACCTGTGTCCCGGGAAATGTGAAGATACTGCAAGGGCAGGGAGGCTCTCAGCTCCTGCCGGCGCCACCGCGCACCTGCAGCTGTCGCCAGCGAGAACACACAATCGCCCCGACGCACTCCTTCCAGAAGAACCACTGGAAACAGAAAGAAAAGACGACCATAATCCCGTCACCCAAAGACAATGAAGAGCGCCGTCTCCAAGGTGGTGGGTTGAGCTGACCTGGGTGGACACCGTCTCAGTGAGGAAAACGTCCATGGGCCATCTGAGCATAAACACATCAGAGAAGGGTCAGGAGAGAGGGCTGGAGGTTTTATATAAGAAAACAGGAGAAATTGGGGGCGTTTTATTCTAAGAGGAAAAGAGAAGAGAAGAAAGAGACCCAGGCAGCAGAACAGGGGCCATAGCAGCTAGTGCAGCCCTGGGGGTCCCGACTTCCAGAGTTACTGAGAAATGCACAGCCTTGGGGGTCCTGACTTCCAGAGCCAGGTGAGGAATACACAATTTGGGGGTCCTAACTTCCAGAGCCCCTGAGAAATACACAGTCTGGGGTCCCGACTTCCAGAGCCTGGTGAGGAATACACAGCCTGGGGTGTCCTGACTTCCAGAGCCGGGTAAGGAATACACAGCCTGGGGGTCCTGATTTCCAGAGCCGAGGAGTACACAGCCCTGAGGTCCCGACTTCCAGAGCTACTGAGAAATGCACAGCCTGGGGGTCCTGACTTCCAGAGCCGGGTGAGGAATACACAGCCTGGGGGTCCCGACTTCCAGAGCCGAGGAGTATACAGCACTGGTCCTGACTTCCAGAGCCGGGTGAGGAAGGTGCCGTCTTACCCGTTCGCACACAGGCACACCCCTCCCAAACCTCCGCGTGTACCAAGACCTGAGCAGAGTCTTCTGGTGATCAAGGAAAAGAGCTGGGTCAGGAGGAGAGGAGCAGGTGGCCTCTCCGTGAATCTCTGGGCCACATCTGCCTGGAGACCACAGGAATGCACAGAAGCCGGGAAGCCCACCCCAGGCCTGTGAGCCCGGCTGCAGAGGAGGGACAGATTCAGACACATGTTCTGAAAGTTGATTTTAAAGTAATTTTTAAAAAATCTGTAGTTGAGTACAGACTATGCAGGCAATTACCTGTTATTCACTCGTTTGTCCGCTATTTAAAACTCTTTACGGGTCCGGAGCCATGGCTCGTGCCGTAATCCCAGCACGCTGGGAGGCCAAGGCAGGAGGATCACGAGGTCAAGAGATCGAGACCATCCTGGCCAGTGTGGCAAAACCCCGTCTCGGATAAAAATACAAAAATTAGCTGGGTGTGATGGTGTGGGCCTGCAGTCCCAGCTACACAGGCGGCTGAGGCAGGAGAATCACTTGATCCCGGGAGGTGGAGGCTGCAGTGAGCCCAGATCACACCAGCCTGGGCTAGAGGGCGAGACTCTGCCTCAAAAGACGTCTTAATAAACATGAGAGTGACTCCCCCATGAGAGCCGCCGGGAACGTCTTTACCCCGACTCTACTGTCCCACATTAATGGGTTTCTATTTTCCATCACAGTCAACAACCTGAAGCTTCTTTGTATCCAAATCTTTCTCAGAGACACCTCGGAGGAGGAGAACCGAGGAGTGAAGAGCATCCTTCAGGCTCTTGATATAAATGCAAAGTCACGCTGTCAAGGTGGCACCAATTCAGACTGTCCAAAATACTAAGGTATCTACAGTTTTAAAAGTGTTATTAAGTCAGTTTTTAAGACAATCTCACTAATCTGTTTGAATACAAATGACTCAAATTCTTAGAAAGTGTATTAGTCGTTTGTACATCCACTTCTGAAAGTCTGCTCCTGTCCTCTGCCGGCTTGTTTTTCTTACTGTTTTCTCACCAACCTACATAAATTAGTAAGGTTATTAATCTTTTAAGTACCATATTTTCCCATTTCATCTCGGTTTATCTTCGTTTTGTTTACACCGCTGTCTGTGAATTTTACCTGTTTATATAATCTTATTTATCATGATTAACTCATTAAGTGCTACGGTGATGAAGCAGCAGGAACCTACTGACCTTCATTTTTAAGGCTGCACAATAACTATCTGATGTGACT